TAATCCCAGCACTTTGGGAGGCCGAGGCAGGCAGATCATGAGGTCAGGAGATCAAGACCATTCCTGGTAACACGGCGAAACCCCATCTTACTATAAAAATACACATACACACCACACAACACACACACACACACACGCAACAAAGAAAAAAAGCCAAATGTGGTGGCACACGCCTGTAGCCCAGCTACTCGGGAGGCTGAAGGCAGGAGAATGGCATGAACCGGGAGGTGGGAGCTTGCACTCCAGCCTGGAACAGAGCGAGGCTCCCTCCCAAAAAAGAAGAGAGTGGAGAGAGAGAGAGAAAGAGAGAAAGAAAAGAGAGAGAGAGAGAGAGAGATAGAGAAAGAAAGAAAGAAAAAGAAAAGAAAAAAGGAGTGTCCTAATCAAGGATGGAGTCTCCTTCATGGGTTCTGCGGAAACTCCTTCTAAGGATGATCTTTTAGGAGTGCTAGACACCAAGCCCCTGGGGCATTGCAAAAAAGAAGTCCCCTCTTGCATAAAATGGTCTGGAACAGCTTCACAGCCAGGTAGCTGGAGGATGGGGCCAGTTATGCTCCCACGAGGACTGAGATTAGAGTGCCACAGTTTTTAAATGGGGATCTCAGACACTAATTTGGGTGCAGCTTGCTGACTGTCAATATGTTTGGAGACGATCCAAAAGTTGTCTCCCAAATAGTGGAGATAAATTTCCCAAGCCCCACTGGGTTGCATAGGGAATGTGAAGGGGCACATTTTCAGGCAAGACCTGGGGACACACAGTTCCTTCATGCTTGGGTCAAGCCCTGAGCACAGATGCCATTGCCAGTTTAATTAGAGAGTCAGCAGGCGGGAGCAGGGACCACCGTGTGACTGCACGGGCTGACTTCCACGAGCTGTAATTACAGGCGGGGTCTGCCTTAGACCGTAGATTTGTTACAGGCAGGAATTACACAAAGGGCTGTCATGAACTGGCCAGTCCTTGCTGTGTGCTTTTGAAGGACTGCCATGAACACATTCTAATGAAAAGGAAGAGCCCCTTGGAAATGCTGAGGGACTGAGCAGGGCCTCAGCATCAACCTGAATGTCTCCGGGCCCAGTGGATTGAATGTGAAATTTGGCATTTGAGAGACTCAGGTTCAAATCTAGCTCTGTTCTGTGCGTCAGATGACTCACCTCCAATGAACAAACGTATTCAGTGGATATGCCTGTCTGTGCCTTCATTTTGGGTCAACAAAATGGGGTTGATGTTAGAATGAGATGCATTAATGATTATAAAGAGGCTGACACATGGGAGACAATAAATATGACTTATCTCTCCCCTCTAGTTAGTAAATGATTAAAAAGAAAATCAGCAAGACAGGTGAGAAATGCCCTTATGTTCATGCCGAGTGGTGTCTGAGAGACATGATGAGAACACATGGCTGCAGGCCCTTGTTGTTCATCTTACTGTCCCTTGGACAACTCTCCTCGGCGTGCCTGAGTGTGCCAGGAGCAGCTCCCGGCGTTTGGGACACATCAGTGAACATCTGGGCTGTTCTCTGCCTGCATGGGGCTTCTACTTCTGTGAGACAGAACATCTATGTTATATGGACTGTCCTGGGGCCATAAGGAACAAGATTAGTGCATAGAGCAGGCAGCCGGAAAGGGGACGGGGCGGGGGGTGCTGACTGGTGAGGGTCCCAGTTGTGCCCTGGGGAGCTGGGTTAGGCAGCGTGGAGGATGGTTGAGTCTAGACTGGAGAGGGTGGGGTTCAGACATGCGGACAGCTGGGTGAGGGGGTGCAGTGAGGTCCGCGGGGTCAATGGAGTGATGAGGGCAGAGGAGCAGGGGAGAAGCCAGAAAGAACAGAGGGCTGGGTGGCTGGGAGAGCCTCACCCTACCTTTTGCTTTTTTGCTTCAGGCAGGGCCTGGGAGAAGGGCTCCCCCATTCTGGTTTGCAAATGTGATCTGCCAGAGAGCACGGAGCACAGAGCAGGCCAGGCCAGGTGTCCCTGCCTTGGCCCCAGGCACTGCAGGACCTCAGTAAGGAGCCGACTGGCCCCTCAGCACTGCTTCCCCCTGGCCCTGTCTCCTGCTACAAACCCCAAGGCCAGCGCACTCTGCAGGCCACACTGCCCTCTCCTCAGGGAATGGCCCATCCTTCTCTTGGACTCAGGGCCCTCCTTCTCTCTGAGGCTCAGCCTTTGCTGCCCACAGCCCTGGAGCCCCTCGCTGGGCAAACCTTCCCCTGGCTCTTTCGGACCTTCAGTGTGCAGCTCATCATGAGTCCCACCCCCACCTAGAGCTAACGTGCCTGCCTGGAGGTCCCCAACAGGAGGTTCTCCTCCATCCGCTTCATCCAGGTGCTCTCAGCCAGATGTGCACTCCAAAACTATGTCTACATGGTGGGCTCCAACTGTCCTACAGCCTCTTTACCATATGGCTGTCTGGCTGCCCCAACCTCCATCAAGGTCACTGTTGGCCTTGCAGAGGTCCACCAGCAGATGCCCCATTCCCCCACCTCTCCACCTCCTCCTCCTAGTTGACTCTGCCTCAGGCTAATTTCTGGAACCCCCTTCTGCTGTATCTGTCTACTCTTGAAAGCCAAGGCTCCCAGCTGCCACTTCTGTCCCCTTTTCCTCCCCTTCTGTCCACAAATGCTTGTGGGGTGGGGCCATTTCCTCTCCTTGCTTCAAGAATGACCTATTAAGCTAATGATTCCCAAGTCTCTCTTCAGCTTGAACCTCACACCTTCATATCCAAATGCCTCACATCACCTGGAAATCTCTCAGACCCCTCAAACTCAACCTAGGCACAATTTAACTTTGTTATCCATATGTGTTCTTACTCACCTCTAGAACCTTCTTCTCCCGCTATTTCCCTATCCTTAGTGACTAAGACTAGCCTTCAATTACCTGAATGAAACGCAGGTATTTCCTGATTGCTCCTACAATCATTCCCCTCTTCCCCTACATTTTGCTGTAACCTGTTCCTGTAATCTTCCTCCTGAGTGCCACCTGCCCCCACCTCCAGTCCACCCCTGCTGCTGTCCTAGTTCACAACACATCTCCTCCACCACACTGGGGCAGAAGCAGAGATGCTGCTCTTGACAGGGGCTTAGGGGAGGAAAGCATTTTACACAGAGAGCCTGTAGTCAATTTTTGCTCATTGATTATGCTCCAACTTTTGAAAAATGGTTGTAACATCACAGATTTGGAAAGAAGGAGACACAGAGCAGAATCCCGACCGGAAAAGTAGGAAGCCTACCAGAGTTCACCTGCTTCTTGCAAGACTATGTGAATGGATGAGTGAATGAATAAACAAATGCCCCAGACTTCTCTAGAGCTCTGAGTCAGATGGAGACACAACACTCCTTTGTTCATTTGAGGGACGTGAATTGAAGACTAATCTCGTGCTGGACAGGAGCTAAGGATTCCAAATGGACATGACATAATTCCTGCCATGCAGCAGAGCTTGGTGAAGTCAGTGGGGACAGCTGCTGAATGAGCAAAGTGCTCTGCAAATCGTGGGTGACTGTTTGCATCCAGCGGAGAGCATCATTCAGTGGAGAGAGGGTGGGTTTGGGAAGCAATGTGAGCATGTCCTCACCTCCCCTCTTCCCCCAGCCTATTCCAATCAGCCTTTCCTTCCCGTCACTCCACTGAAATGGCCCTCATCAAAGTCTCCCATGACCTACAAGAGTCGAATCTCTGCCCTCATCTCTCTTGACTCTGTGACATTTGACCTTTGCTTCCTTTTGGAAATGCTTTCTTTTCTTGGCTTTTGTGATAATCGCATTTTCTTGGTTTTCTTCCAAATCTGTATCTATAGCCCTGACCTCTCTACTGAACTCCCAACTCATATAGTCAGCTGCCAACTCAAGATACATCCCAAATCTGATCATTTCTAACTGTGACCATCCATGTCTGCAACCCTAATTTAAGTTACTAGCTCAACCCCTGGATTTCCACAACAGAGCCCAATCTGATCTCTACTTCCTGTGTCACATCTCCATAGTCAATTTTCCATATAACTGCCAGAAATGTCCCTTTTTAAACAAATGAATCAATATAATCACCTTCTATTATTAGCTTGAAATATTCCAGTAACTGCCCACTGCAAAGAGAATACAGTCACTTTTCTGATGGCCTGCAAGATCTCATAACTGGTCATCTTCATCCCTCTGACTTCCTCTCTTCCCAGTCCCTCCACTGGCCACTGGGTCTCCTAGCACTGACCTCCCTGTGACCCCCAAACAGCCAGGACCACTCCTGCCCCAGGGCCTTTGCACTTGCTCTGTACCTCGATCCCCATTGCTGGCTCCCCATTGCTCAGGCCTCAGTCCAGAAGTCCCCTCCTCTGAAAAGCCTTCCCTGACTGCCCCTAAAGTATTTTCCCCATTCCATCACCTCCTCTACAATGGCCCCACTTCAGTGTTCTTCAGGGCACTTCTAAGATCTGAAATGCTTTATTTACTTACATCGTCTGTGTCCTTTCATGACAACATGAACTCTCCGAGTCAGAGGCTTTATCTGTTTGGATTACAACTGTTCCCTCTAAAGCCTAGAGAGAGTCCAGCACACAGAAGCCTCTGAATAAATCTGTGTTGGAGAGATGTTGCATGGATTAATGCTTGAATGACTCCTGACTTCACTGCTCGTTATGGTGTTAAGGGACAAGGGCTTACTTCTCCATCAAGGACAGCTGGCTCAGGGGCAAGGGCTCACTGCACTTTTAGGAACTCACAGAAGTATTTTCCTTCTAATTTCTTTTAAAATCAGAAGAAAAAGCATAATAATAATGAAAGTATAATAATGAATCCAGCCTGGTTTACATTCTTCTTTATACCAATGCAGTCATGAAATACAATATTTTATTATTTTGGGGGGTGGGGGGACAAGTCAATCCTTCTGATCCTCAGCTTTCTCTGAACCGTAATCCCAGCTCACAGGGTCCCCAGGGAGAACCAGACAAGCTGGCATGTAAGCGTCCGCTGTGAGGGGTAATGTGGGGTTACGGCTCCAGGGTGGAGGGTTTACAGTGTGCGAGGGCAGCCTAGAGCCATGAGACCTACAGGGCTGTCTGGGTGTTGGGAGACACCTCTTTCACTTCTTATAACACTGCAAGAGACAGACAGGCTGGGTCTCACTGTGTCCATTCTAAGGCTAAAAAACTGCAGCTCAGACTAGTTCAGCAACTCTCCTACATCATGTGGCTAAAGCTAAGAATTGTGACCCATTTTTCTGAATCCAGGTCCCCGCGATGCCCTGGGTTCAGATCCTAACACCCTCCCATCCCTGAGTGCTGGGGATTTCAGGCAGCAGTGCCTCCTTTCAGGAAATCACACACACACTGGAAACTCCTGCATGCTCCTCTTACTATAATCTGTCACCAAAGGCTGGATATTCCTGTGCTGGGGCTTGTGCCAGCGCCTTGGGCTGCCAGGTGCTGCTTTCCAACTCCCACATGGGCTGCCCTCCCCCCACTGCTCCTCACAGGGCCCCCACTCCACCTGCTCCCAGACGAGGCCGACTCCTGGCCAAGCTCAGGGGCACAGCGGAGGCGCTCTGTTTCTGATTTTTCTCGCCTTCCTTGGAGATGCCTGTGCTTGGAAGGGAAGGCAGAACATTGCATCTTGGAACAAATCTGCTTTTGATCATGCAAATGAATGCCTGGTTAATGTAGGCAGACTGTCAATTTCACCAGTTAGAAAGAAAGAGAAAAGGGGGGGAAATTCCTCATGACAGCGCCTGATGAAGAATTTCAATAGAAAGCTGCTACTTCAGAAAATAAGATCATTTGCCGCGAATGGAGAACATCTCAGGCAGCCCTGATGCTCCACCGGTAGGTTGCTAACTTTGCTGGGTGTCATTAGGACTCCCTGGGTGGGCCATAGGTGGCTTTGGGTGGTATGTGGGGGAGGGTTTTCAGAGGGACTTGACGGATCCCGTACCCACCCTCTGTCTTTGGTCTGAAGGAAATGGGTGGGTCTCTGCTGAGGTGGTGGGTGGCTCCAGGGGGCAGGACTTGGGGTAAGAGGCTCCACTCCCGTCCCACTGTGACTTCCCTGGGAAGCTGCACTGCATGTGTTTGTGAACTGGGATCCAGCTGATACTTATGCAGCTTTGGCATGAGTAGAGAGCATGCATTTGTGTTTACTACAATTTGGAAAATCGGTTTCAGGTCAGCTGAGGTGGTTCAGAGATTGGACGTTCTCTGTATTCCTGTTTTCTGTGTATAATTATCTGAAGAAGGGATAACAGCTTGGGACACAATCTTAATATTAAAATTTAAAAATTAAGTGAAAAAAATGAACATTTATTGAAGCCAAACTATTTTCCAGATATTGGTGTATATTTGAATTCTTGGACATCTTTATGAGGATATTTACTAACCATCTCCCAACTTTACAGTTAGGGAAACTAAGGCTCGGACTCTGGGTAACTTGGATGCTCATGATTGCAATCCAAGGACATCCAGGACACTCTCCCTGCTTTGTTGACAGATGACCGAGGGAGCAGGGTCCTCGTCAGTTCCTGACCGTTGTGTCACTCCAGCTGACAGTGCTGCTATGGGGCCCAACGGCACCTGATCCCCACCTCCTGAGGTCTTGGAATAGACGTCCATCTCTCCATATAGTATGTATCAATGGTGTTGCAGTTATTTGCCTTGTCTGTTATCTGACTGCAAGCCCTTCTGAGGGGAGGAATTCAATTTGTATTTTGTGCTGAAACACCTGGCCCAGCATGACTAAACAAACAGGTGCTGGTGTTACAAAAACATGCTGAACACCCTGTTTATGTGGATGTAGCAGTTTGTTGCAATTGATATGTCCTGTTTCTCAGCCCCAGATGGGGCAGGAGGGACTGGGTGGGTACCAAAGGACAGAGGGTGGAGTAAAAGGCATGGCTGAGATTGAGGTCCTCCAGAACCTGCCATCTTCAGGTCTCCTTGGCTGATGGTGGTTGGACCCAAGTGCCATGGAGCCTTCTTGGGGGAAACAGAGAAATGCACAAGTCCAACTCTAAATTCAGGTCGGGAGTGGGCTGAGATAAGGGAGGGCAATGCAAGGGCACATTGGGTTGAAGTCCAGAAGCAGTTTCCTCATTGTTGGAAGGGTGGGACCGTAGCTCGTAGCTCAGTTTCCACTTGGTTGTCCACTGTGCCCTCTTGCAGCACTGTGTGGGGCAGAATCCTGAGGATCTCTCTGGGTGATGCTTGCATATGGTAGGGATAAGGTGGTGCTAGTGCATCCCTGATCTAGTGTTTAGCACAGATAGGGTCATGGGTAGATCCCACCACCTGCCACCCCCGTCCCTCCCCCACCCTGCAATTGGGGTCAGAGACCTGCAGTGGAGACTTGGCTTTCCAAAGGACTAGTTAACTGACCTAGAGACATCTGGTAAACCCATTAAGCCTTTCTTTCCTGGGAAAAAAAAATGGTATAAAATACTGGTTCATGGTTCCCTACCTCACAGCCATACAGTTGAAATAAAGTAAAGTAAGAGCATGAGTTACTTCACTTAGGCTAACCCCCAAGGCTATTGAAATTTTAAAATTATAAATAAATCAATAAATGACTATAGGAAAAAAAAGAATGTGGGTAGAATTGGAAAGACCTTTGCACATAGTAGCCCTTATTCTAGCTGGGTTTGTGTACATTTCAGTACCCAGCATACCATTGATGGTAGACAGAAGGCTCTTGGAGGAAAGCCTGGCTTTTCCCAGAGTGCTGTCATGCGAAGAGGATACTTTGGAGGCAGATAGACCTGGGTTTTAATTCTGGTTTCTCTCTGAAAAATAGCAATAATAATCCCCACCTCATAGGGTAATAGTTTTGAGGGTGAATTATTTCATTGAATACTTCTGGGTTAGGGCCCACCACATAGTCAGTTCTTCATAATTTCATTCATTCATCCTAGTGAATGTTTACTGTGTGCCTGTTGTGTGCGACGTGTCTAGCAGAACTAGACACATTTCTAGGCACCAGAGATATAGCAGTTTCAAACATTCTAGTTGGGGAAGAAAGACAATAGACAAATACATAATATGGCAGGAGGTCTGAGTGCTGGGGTAGGGTGCAGGATGTAGGGATAGAGAAGGCTGGGGATATGGCTTCCCTCTGAATCTAAGTGGTCAAGCAAGGTCTTTCTGATAAGCAGACCCTGAAGGAAGTAAGGCAGTGAGTTATCTGGGAGGAACATTCAAGAAGAAAAAACAGCAAATACCAGGACCCTGATGTGGGATGTGCTCAGCCTATTTGAGAAACTCTAAAGGGACAAACCAGTAAGCCAGGAGGGAACAGCAGGAGTTAAGGTCAGAGAGCTAACAGGGGTCACATCAAATAGGCTCTGGCAGTTAACAGAAGACTGGATTTTTCCTCTGCATGAGAGGAGGCCACTGGAGAGAAGGCTTGGAGCAGAGGGTCTGACTTATAAAGGGATTGCTCTGGCTACTGTGCTTCTCATAGATTACAAGAGGCAAGGCAGGTGCAGAGAGACAGTTGGGGGCTACCACAAAAATCTCAAATAAAATGGCTGGATCAGGGTGATAGTAGAAGAGGTAGGGGAGAGGAGCTTGGATTTGGGATACAGTTTGAAAATACAGCCAAATGGATTTGCTGATAGAATGCTGGTAGGATATGAGAGAGCAGTGTCAGGAATGACTTTTGGTTTTGAGCCTGAGTACAGAAGGATGAGTTGTTTAGTTGCCAAGTTGTTTACTGAGATGGTGAAGACTACAGAAGAACATGCTGGTTGGGGATGGGAGCAGAGGTGGAATCGGCAGTCCACTTTGGATGTGTTATGGATGAGACACTATGAGATGTGTAAGTGAAGATGTCAAGTGGGCCATTGGCTAAACCAGTTCACAGTTCAAAGGAAAAGTCCAGGAGGAATAAATCTGGGTGCAGACACATGTTTAGGAGATGATCACATGCAGTGTCACTGAGCTGTGAGCTGGCTTCCAGTCCCACTGTCACGACTCTCCTCCTGCAGGCAGTCCTCCTCACCATCAGCACCTAGATGAGTTCTCGGTAGGATGCAGGCTCACAAAAGTTGCTCAGTGGCTTCACTAACGCATGTCCCAAGGGAATGAATGAAGAAGTGAAGCCAGAAAGGAACGGTCTAAACAATGAACAAATGTGCTGGGGGAACACTGCCCTGTGGTTGGTATCTGGGATGACCATCATGGAGCAGGGCTAGAAGCTGCTCTGCTGTGCCCTCAGAGAGGTTTCTCTATTTGGGGGTGTCCTACTTCAGTGCTGGCTTCTCCAGTCAGGCCCCTGTTTGGCAGTGAGCCTCCTGCTGGTGGTCCCATCTTTCTTTGCGAGTGAACAAAGTAAGGTTTCCTTAAAAACCTTAGAGGGAAACTCAATGAGAAGAATGCAAATGCATCTTTGAGTAGAGATCCCTGTCCTCTGGATTCAGGTCCCTGGCTGGACTGGTTAAGGAATTCAGGACAAAATTAGGAAACTTTCAGACACTCCTGGGACTCTGCTTGAACCAGGGAAGCCCAAGGCAGCCATGAGCCCCCAGTCATCTCTCTCACAATGAAAGGGTATAATCAGAAAATATGAGCCTGAGCTACCCTCTGAACACCACTGTCCCAGATCTGCCAATAAGAACCACTCCCTCACCCTTCCTGATGGATGGCATTTCCACTGCGTTGGGAGACGTCTGAGAACTAACCACAGGGCCTCCCTCCTCCCTAAGTCCATCAGCCCTTTCTATGCTGATCCCAAGGTTCCTGGGAATATAAAAGTAGTTCTTCCTCTCTTTCAAAAGTCGAAGATGGCCATGAAAAGTTTTCAGTGCATGGACCAAAGAACCAGAGCTGTGAGGACACAGTGTCTTCTGCACAGAGATTGTGCATTCCTCGTAGGAGGGTATCAAATAAGGAGGTGAGTGGGAAAGAGTCCCTGGTCAATAGCCAGCTCCATCCCCGTCTGCTCATGCCTCAGAGTACTGTCTCCAGGGCGGGGAGTGTTTAGGGGCAGCAAGGGAATACTAAGATTAGAACTTCCATTTCTTTCTCTTGCTTTAACACTCTTTTGATTCAATAAAGCATTTCTAATAATTTAGTGTATTAGTACAGGAGTATACATGTATATAATTTATACTTAAATAACTAAACTTACTATTTCTTAACTGATGAGGGGCTTGATAAGAAGCAACCTGAAGATCCCTGTTTTAGAGACTACAAACTCTGAGGCAGTGGAGGAGAGTGGCACATTTTCAGTGACTCCTGAACAGTTGTCTTGTCCAATAATAAAGTCTTAGCCCCTCAGGGTAAGGGCTATACTGTATATGAGTGCTTGGCAGAAAAAATATTGAAATGGTTCAGGTATAAAAGTTATTTCTCCCTGGCTGTGAGTTAGCTAGATGAAAGCTGAGGGTGACTACGTTTTACTTGACACCACCCTCTAGGAACACACACACACACTCACACATACACCCTCAGAGAGAACTCTATCACTGCTCACATGCCACACCAGCCTTCCAGATAGGAACCTTCAGAAATCAACTTCATATGCAAACCTCACCAACCCTGCTTCTTTCTCTCTCTCTCTACATACACATGCACACATAAATATATATAATATGCAACATTATGCATGTGTGTATATATACAGCAATAGTAATAATTCGTAATACTCTTTCTCCAGAGGTAGGCAATGTTAACTGCATGTTGTGAATCTTTTCACTCCATTATCCTTCTATGAAGAAAAACATACAAATATACACATTTCCAAATATAAAGATACATACAGGTTGGTTTTTAAAAATATGAATGCTATCTTAATTTCACATTCCTCTACATATATTTTTGTCATTTTACAATGTGTCACAGGCTTCCCTTAAGTCAGTAGAGATAAATCTAGCTCATTCTTTTTAACATCTGCATAATATTTAATAGCTTGTTTGTATCTTAATTTAGTCAACCATTTCCCTATTAATGGACACTTGAGTTGCTTCCAAATTTTTTGCCACAAAAATCAATGCCACAATCAATCAATAAACAATGCAATGCGATAAATACTCTTGTATATATACCATGTAAAACTAGAGCTTTTATTGCTGTAGGATAGAGTCCCCAAGGTGAAATATATTACCCAAAGGAAATAGGATTATCCAAAGGAACTCAGGATCCTGTTAGGTTGCGATCATGATTTAATAAAATCCCGATTAGACTACCTTATATTCAACAGAGCCAACAGAGACCCACATTGTGCATGTGCAGGGAAAGGTGCACTCCACCCACGCCCAGAGTTGTCCTTTCTCTGTGCTTTATGCACACTGGGCTTCCCCTCCTCAGGCTTGACCACCTACAAGGCTTTGGCCAAGAGTAGCTTGTCCAAGGCAGGGTGGGGTGGGCAGAGGAGCATGTGCTCGGTCTCTTCCAGGGTTAGCCACATCCTAGTGAGTGACTGTGACTGCTGGTGAGAGCAGGAACTGTGCATTCCAGCAGAATGCAGACCTCACAGCTCACTCCCACTTTGCTGTGCCTCCAGCAAGCTGCACAAAGTTGCGTGTTTGCCAGGTGCATGGTGCATGCTCTCTTTACTAAGAAATTTAACTTGGAAGGCTGGTGCTTCAGTGTCTTTTTCAGGATTGGGAAAGGGTGATGATTTAACAAG